TTTTTATTTGTTTGTTTTTGTTCTGTTTATATTTCATTTTTATTATTCTTTATGTATTTATTGTTTTGTATTCTGGGTGTGTGTATTTTATTGCTATGACTGTATCCCCTGTGAATGTTATATCTTCAAAAAAAAACAACAACAAAAAAAACGAATCAATTCTCTTTCCGGCTCAGACTGCATTGGTTAGTATGGGGCTGTCACGTGATGAACGAATGCCTCGGAAAAACCCGGACTCGAAACAGGTGAACTACTTGACTAATTCCAGTACAGAACCTATATGATGTTGCGCATGCGCGACTGAACGAATCACTCCCCGAGACGACTCGTTCTTCCCGAGTCACATTAAAGATTCGTTCAAAATGAACGAATCGTTCAAGAACGACCCAACACTAGTAGAAGAACAACTTCGCTCATGTAAAAGGTAATAACAACCTTATTATAACGTCTCTATTTAAGCATGTGGGTTCTCTTTTTGGAAACATAAGTAAAAGAAAGACTCTAGAGTTAGCCTGTGAAGAGGGACTTGTTGAACTATGCCCTGTCGTGTCATCCGCGTTACACTGCTGCTCGCTGCTGGAATACTGATTGATGTGATTAAAGGCGATGGGTTTACTGAAGACATTAAGCCTCCAGACTGGAGAAAGACCTTAAAATCCATCCGGAATGGGATTCATAAAATAGACAAATACCTTAATATTGCTTTGGATTTTATCGGAGGTTCAGACGGACGGTGTATTTTTAAGTGCAGTGACGGTAAGTTAGGTCAGTTTAAGAGATTGGACATCAATAATAGATATAATAACATATGATTTAACTGGTAATGGGATTTGGCTCTTTATAGGGTACACACCGGTTCCTCGTCCCAAATACAAATCACCTCCACCCAACGGATGCGGCTCCCCTCTGTTTGGATTTCAGGTGAAGGCGACAACATGCAGTTACTTCGTGTTTTTACTGTCATATTGCTGTATTGTGGCTTTCACTTATCTGTAGTGGGAAACTGAAGTGATTGCTTCTCTAATGCTTTTAATATTCTCTCTCCTGACTTGTGTTGTGGTTGACTGCAGCTTGATATTGGGATCCCATCGATGACCAGATGCTGTAATGAGCACGACCTGTGCTATGATACTTGTGGGAGAGAGAAAAAAGCCTGTGATGAGCAGTTCCAGGTCTGTCTGGAGTCCATCTGTAGTCATTTACAAATGACACTGGGCTTGTCCCAAAGTGTTCAAGGTACGTTAAAACAATTGAACGTGGAGGGCTGTCCTAACTGTATGTATTTCACAAAAACAGATTATATTTGAACTTGACAGTCTTTCTAACGATGTACTGTATCCTACTGTATTTCTATGTAAATTGCTGAGATCTACCCTTATACCCATATTTGATTTCGCAGCCTGTGAATCAGCAGTGACTTTGCTCTTTGATACGGTCATGCACGTGGGATGTAAGCCTTACCTGGATAGCCAAAGATCATCCTGCATTTGCCACTATGAAGAGAAGGCTGATCTGTGAACAGTTCATATATTTATGTTGAAGTTTGATTGTGTGTTATGGTCTCAGGGTACAGCAAGATGCAATACAATTTGTTTCTTTGAATTTGGTTCATTGCAATGTCAAAGTAAACTTAAATTATAAAAGAAGTGAAATTAATATGATTATAAATATATACTGATGTGCCTTTATTATATATACACACACACTACATGATATATATATATATATATATATATATATATATATATATATATCATGTAGTGTGTGTGTATATATAATAAAGGCACATCAGTATATATTTATAATCATATTAATTTCACTTCTTTTATAATTATATCAGATTGTAATATGGGATATTATTGTGATATGGGATCAAATAAAGATTTTAAACCCCAAAAAAATTACATTGCATGAAGTGACTTGGGAAAACCTTGATGACCCTATCATCTGAATCAGTAGATATACACTGTGTTCCAAATTATTATGCAAGTGACATCAATAGGATTTCAGTACAATAAAGAGTCAGATTTTTGTTTTTCACATCTTTTTTTTCACATTTCACATTATTACATAATTAACTAGGAATGGCAAAGAATGGTCATAGCAAGAAGAGCTTCAACAAATCAGAATTTTAAAAACCAATGAGTAATAGAGTGAGCCAATGGATATATTAAGCCATGCACACAGTATTATTACAGTATACAGTATGTCTTAGGTATGTCCAGTAACGACTATCTCTCACACACACTCACAAAAAAAGGTTCTAAACTAGTATATTTTACATGATTTTTATTATCTCTCTCTCTCTCTCTCTCTCTCACTCTATTATATATATATATATATATTTATTATTACATACTCCTGCATGAAACAATTTAAGTGAGAAACTGTGCAGGGACTTATTTATATATATATATATATATATATATATTTTTTTTTTTTTCCAATAATGGTCGGTGATATGATTTTTAAACATTTCAGATATTTCAATATACACATCACCAGGGTTTCCCA